AACCATTCTCGTGGCGGCCCGCTGGACACGCTTAAACCTGACCATCAAGGGGTCGGGTTAAGTCATTTCGTTTGAGACTGTCTACGCGAATATGAATCGGTGAGATGTTAATCCATCAGTGTAGGTGATGTTTCAGGTTCATGCTCTCTTGAACCTCTCGAACCACTGGAACCAACTACGGTATCGATTGTCATGGTGTGGTTCAGCGGCGCGTCATTTCGTTCAAGGCCGAATGTAGGTTGGCACCACAGATTCGTTTGGTCTATAATTGAATATTTATATGCCCAACATTTCTCGTTCAAGTTGTTTAATTAAATAGCTCATTCGGCCGCCAGCTTTCGCAGTCATTTTTGAAACATAGCCACTACAACAACTGAAGGCATTGTTAGGCAGTCAGTTGACTCTCCAAACAACACTGCCTTATCCTATGGGACAGGGTAATCCCGGCACGAAGGGCTTATAATTTTACCACAACCTCGTAAGTAATCTCTTGTTGGTTCGTCCCATACAAGTTTGGCCGACAACACTCGCATCACATGCATGTAGAAACAGTGCAAGTCACTGAGTATTATATCTTAAAAGACGTTACACTTAAGGCAAAGACGGAGTGACACTGTTGATGTTAAGCAAACCCAAATTAAGGCTATATTTGCTATCGAAATCCCACGAAGCGGCTTCGTGGGATTTCGATAGTAAATATAGCCTTAGTTTGGTTTGCGTGCACTTCAACAGTTGCACTCCGTCCTTGCCTTTCACAAACTCCCCATAGGCCGAAAAATGAAAAATCGAAAAGTTGTGGTGATAGTGATATTCGGCACGAAGTATCCCCTGTATCCCAATCAATCTAATAATATAACCCCCGGCTCTGGAGGGGGTCCTGCAGCTCTGAGAAATTACTAGCACATTCGTCCTCGCTAACAATGCCTATGTGGGGTTCTTTTGTTGGGTTATCACTCAAAAGCATATGAATATATTCATATGAACGGCTTGTATACAAGCCGTTCATATGAATATATTCATATGCTTTTGAGTGATAACCCAACAAAAGAACCCCACATAGGCATTGTTAGCGAGGACGAATGCGCTAGTAATTTCTCAGAGCTGCAGGACCCCCTCCAGAGCCGGGGGTTATATTATTAGATTGATTGGGATACAGGGGATACTTCGTGCCGAATATCACTATCACCACAACTTTTCGATTTTTCATTTTTCGGCCTATGGGGAGTTTGTGAAAGGCAAGGACGGAGTGCAACTGTTGAAGTGCACGCAAACCAAACTAAGGCTATATTTACTATCGAAATCCCACGAAGCGGCTTCGTGGGATTTCGATAGTAAATATAGCCTTAGTTTGGTTTGCGTGCACTTCAACAGTTGCACTCCGTCCTTGCCTTTCACAAACTCCCCATAGGCCGAAAAATGAAAAATCGAAAAGTTGTGGTGATAGTGATATTCGGCACGAAGTATCCCCTGTATCCCAATCAATCTAATAATATAACCCCCGGCTCTGGAGGGGGTCCTGCAGCTCTGAGAAATTACTAGCACATTCGTCCTCGCTAACAATGCCTATGTGGGGTTCTTTTGTTGGGTTATCACTCAAAAGCATATGAATATATTCATATGAACGGCTTGTATACAAGCCGTTCACCACACTGTGAACCCCGAAGTTGAAACATATCATAATTCTCTTGAAAGGCCATTATTAAGCGCGTATGCACTCTGGAAGAACTACAATAGATCTCCTGCACAAGCCATATAGTCTACCTTCCATCTTGCTAAGCCAGCTGAAAACCGAGGTCCTAAAAGCCTCCTCATAGCAAAGTTGTTAAAGTTGCATTTAAGCCAGAAACAGCTTTACGTGACTGGTGAAGTTCCGAAGTGCCTGTTTGGTGCTGTAAAGAGAAAATCAGCGTCGGAGTACGCCGTAAGACGCCAAAAACAAAAAAGAACATTGAGAATAATGGCACCTGCTCCCCAGTATTGCTTCTGTGGTCAATGGATGTACACATTGTTTGACTGTATCCGTCGGTCTCTACAAGATGCTGGAAAAACACAGCAAAAGTCCTAAAATTGTTCCAATATTGTAAACCACACACCGATCCCAAGGGGCGAGACTCCCGCTCTTGCGCAGTGGGATCAACCAACTGAAGACTCTAGTGCCCGTTGCAGAATATCACTTCTGCTCTATATGGCATTGGCACTGGAATCAGTCATCTTCGGTGAACCCCTTAGCAACCCTTGATGCTGCAGTAGTGAAAGGTATGGGTGACACAATTGATAGGCGTAATGTGTGCACTAAGTTGTCTTGCGTAATTAAACATTGGCGTAAGGCGTTCATCCACAGAGGGCTGGGCAAGAGTACGGACTTCTAATAAAACTGGAGTGTTCTTGTTAGGACGAACTCTTGAACGGGCAAAACGGAGGATGCTGTCTCCAGGCAAAGAGTGACACATGACTGCAACGCATTGTCTGAAAGATCTTGGTGTCAAGTCATCCAGTGCTTATTGCATACCCTTATTCAACACTCCAGAATCCACACGATTTGGTCCGATATCACGAGTGAACTACGGCTGTCAGTATCCGCCAGGTTGCATTTTTAGCTCTTACGGAAGACCTGAAGCTTATTTCCGTTGATTTTTGCTACGGCCCTTGAAAACTACAATCAAGAGTCAGAGTAAAACAACCGTTTTGAATAAAGAACGCTCCCACCGGTGGGCCGACCACTTTGAATAGCGATTCCCGTGGACACCAGCTGCCACTCATCTGGAGCCTACATATGGAGTAGAATCCTGGACGGCAAACCCGGAACTTGCTATTTCCTCGGAGGTTAATGACTGCCTACGGTTTCTCAAATGCCACCGAGCTCTTGATGCAGATTGACTCCCATCCGTACTGTTTGAAGATTTGAGTAAAGTTTCCTGCCAGCGCTTATCTGATCTGTTTGTCTGCATTTGAGAAAACAAGACTGTAAGACGATAAGGGAGGATCGACTATAGTGCCTACTCTCAGAAAAGTGAGTGCGGCAATCACGAGAGGAGCCACTTGATTCAAGTCATGACGAGACTGTTAGAACCAACTGTCCTTCGTCGTCTTACGGTGGCTCGCATAGACACTGGCTTGAGCGACGCAAGGGAGATTCCCACCTGGTACAGCTGTAATGACCGAAACTTCACATTTCATTGGGTGCTAGAACAACGCCACATACACAGAATACTCACATTTTTAATATCCCTGGATTTCCAGGACCCATAAGCTTGGTTGACTGGCCTGTTCCACCTCACACGGTTGCCCAGAAAGTAATGTCCCAGACGCTTATGGACATAAGTTATCTGTATTCTCGGGCTTGTGTGAGAGTATACAGAGAGCTCTCCAGAACTTTTCGTACACAAAGGGATATCCGTCATGTGGGCCCACTCTGTTCATTTCAATTTGAATTCTTGACTGAGATTTCTTGGACGGAGGCAGGAAGTCCTCAAAAGACTGATGTTGAAATGGCTGCTGACTAGAATCCTGTCGATCTGGAAAATGCAGCCAATATCGTTCTCAGAATGGCGGGGGCAGAGAGTTGGCCAATCTTTGACAGAGGAAAGGGTTATGAAAGATATCATGATTAGTCTAAGTGATGTCGGTGGGACTCGCCTTCCAGGATGGGGGCCGTGTGATCCCAACTGCGCCTGGCTGGTGACGCTTGAAGATTTTATTTCCAATCGATGTCAGTGGTGTTCACGCTGTGAGTTTCTATATCTGTTGCGTGGATGAGTGTTTTGAACTGTGGGCACCTCGGAATATTGCGGACTAGCACCAAGTCCCTTCCTCTTCCACTTTTGTTCTTTTCTTCTCCACAAGTATTCCTAATAAATTATCGTTATATGATAGCAATGCATTAGTGCCGGATGCTGACGCTATCGATGATACTGGTGATGGTTGGTGCAAAATTACGCGAAATTACTGTGTTTGGCCCTTAGACTACAGTAAAGAGCCAGTATTTTCCTCTGGTCTTATTGATAGTGAAGATTAGTAGATTTGTTTACAAAAAGTTCAGATGGTACGAAATAGTGGTTCTTTCAAGCAGCTGAAGAGTCATGTCTTGATGCAGTCGTTTGGCATGAAGCGTTGGCATGCACACAAGCTTTTACTTAACACTTGATAGTCCGCTGGGCTAATTTATTTTCGGGACCAGCCGGTACGTTGCCCTGGGACACAAAGAGTGCTACGGGCAAGACTTCCAGCATTGTGCAAAGATGCGATTTCCTTCGAGCAAGAATTCACAACAGACGAGGAAGCAGCTGGAAGATTATTATAAGGATCGAGCAAAACGGTATGCTTAACTTCGGGATCGGCCAGCTGCTCTGTGACTGAGCTGTTTGCCCACTCGGTATGTGGAACTGGTAAAGAAAAGAAAGAAGCCAATCTGGACGAGCACATCGTTCGACCTTAGACATATGCCTCAAAACGAACTATCGTTGGTAATTAATCTGTAATTTAATGACATATGGCTGCCATTTTGTGCGGCACATCGCGTGCCAGGACGACTTTGATTATTTTGGAACCTGGCATTGCATAATAGAAGGCTGTGTCCAGCAAATGGCTGACGCAGTCACTCGCCGAAGTCCGTACATACCGAGCCAAATCCGAGCCGACTACCGAATCGAGTATCATATGCACTAATTTTGCTAACTTACGGACTTAGATCTCTGGAAGCCGCCGCAATATTTAAGCTTCCGGCCCTTCATAGCAGGGCATTTATTGCATTACAAAACTTGTTTTTGATGCTTTCTGAGCTACAGTCTGTTGCAGCGTGATTAGATATGACAGACGGGCGGTTGTCAACTTCCAGATTGTGTGACTGCTTCATAAGCGCTGCCAGATTAACCACGTAAAGGTGACCATCAGTGGCTATCCAGTCGAGTGAGAGTCCTTCTGATCAGCGAATTAAGATGATTTTGATTCCTGTACATTTCGTCGCTGCAGTCTCTGAAACACCAGAATTGCACATTCGGAAGCGAGTGGAAAGTGACTGGAAAGTTAGCTAAATCAAAATATTTGCGTTTTGAATCCTTGTTTCTGATATACAGCAAACTTCACTGCCAATGAGTCAAAAATGAGAACAAGAGCAGTTTGCTTTTCTTCTCGCTTCATATTGCAAACATTAAAATCAACCCGATAGGCCGAGCTTCGAGGTCTGGAGTTTGATTTCGAGATGCCTTGAAATGATGCACAGATGGTGCATCCAAGACCGAAGCAAGACAAACCTGCTTGCCATTTCCAACAGGTGGGCTTACAAATACAGAGTGGGACTGGGCGATGGGGAAGAAAAAATGCGTGAAATTGTGAGCGGCTGGCTTGTCAACAAAGAAACACCTCTTGCAAAAACCAGCTGACCTTTCTCACTGTTACTGATTTATTGTCCTTAGTGGAATTGGGCAGTGCTTCAGAGGCATCAGCGGGCAAGCACGGAGAGTCTTTAAACGTATTCAACACACAACTGCCGCGTCTGTAATTTGTAAACCAGGAAAAACCAGACTGCAGCCTTTTACACCGAACATCTGACAAGCAATCTGAGTCGAGTCAAGGGCTTCACTGATCCTCAAACGAATACACACTAGGCAGTTCGATATGCGCATTATCATCTATGCAGCCAGCAACGAAGTCCAAATAACTTGCCTACCTTCTGTACACAGCAGATCGCTTTCACAAGTCCAAAGAATATCTACCGAAATGGCATCTGGAATATCATGATTATTCCAAGAGAAAAAAATCCGAGTGGCCAACCTCACTGCTTGAGAATCTGAAGGCAGAAAAGCTTATTTGAAGTTTCATCTACGTTTTAAAATAAAATAGACACTTTGATTTAAAGTGGGCGTTCTCCCCTGTATATTTTACGCCAATCCGATATAAGCGCAGCAAACACATGACTCGCCTCTTCACTGCAAAACCCCCGGTTGGCGACAAGGAAGTATGACTATTTTTCACCAGATACTCGTTGCAACTGTTTAGCTCAGTTTTGGATAAGCAAATCTTTGGGTAAAACGAAACAGTATCAGAGGAAAGGTGTAAAAACCCCGGACTCTGAGAAAAACGAGCAAGGGAGTCTGACTCTCTGCTTTTTCTCCTAAACCCAGTTTCATAAGAAATCGTGGAATCTAATGCAATCAGTTTGATTCAGCGATACTAAAAATCTTCGACACTTGGATCGGCCGCCCGTCTTTGCTTGCACTCAGCAGCAGGTTTGTTGCGATGCAACATGTGAGATACATGGAAACGTATCCGTCCATCGCAAACGACGGGTATGCAGAATTATGTATCCACACGTACCACTCCAGGGGAGCGACAGAGATTCCAGAAGGCCAAGCAGCGCTGTAGTGCTGCAGGTCATCAGTAGATATGAAAGATTAACGAGTAAATCGGCGAGAGGGAAATGCGTTGTCCTTCTGTTCCCTCGTCAATAAAACCATCTGCATACCAGTGATTATTTCAATTTTTCAGAATTATAACTACTGAGACTCGATGGTGGCTGGAACCACCAGCCATAAGTTGGAATATATCGCTAGTTTCAGTGTATCCATCAAAGCTGCTGCACTAGTACCTGTTGGTGAACAGTTTCAAAGATTCACAACATTTGTGGATAGAATCAATCAGGGACTATGGCGTAGACACATCACCAGTTTACACATATTTGTGTCGTCCTCGCTGCAAGGTAACCGAAGCCATGGATCGCACCACTAGGAAATTTCAGGGGTTCCACGTATGTGTCCAGGGTGCTACTGACAGAATTTGTGTGCACATACATAGTCGTCTTAAGTAGGCTGTGGTTGGCAAATAATGCGCCATAAGAACAAATAAGTTTGGATTTGATGAGCACTTTATCTCTACAGATATCATCGAACTAAATGCATAGACATATTGGTATGCGTCATATGCCACATACATGTGATATACTGCAAAATATATTGTACCATATTGTACTGTATGTGAAGGTAATGTGCTGCTTGTGTTCGTACAATTAAACACATTGGTCATCCGAGCGATATGGAAAAATTTGATCTAATTATTCACCCAATTTCATACACACCATTTGATAGGCCACAGAATTCCAGGTTAACCGGTCTGCTCATTCCATGTGTTCACCTATGCATAACAGTCTACTCAGCACTGATGGATTAGTAAAACCATTCCTCTTTCATTACTCCCGTACTGTTTAGTGGATAGAAAGTGGCAAAATATGCCTCTTCCTACTCATTCAGTTAATCTTTCTAATGGGAAGTCCCACTCCTAGGACGTTTGAGAGTTTTATCTCCGAAATAACTGTTTTCAACACACGTTCCGCACAGGCAAAAGTGGTTTTTGAATACAGATGGCCGTGCTGAATGGCTGGGGGCTGTGAAAAAGGTTTCTAAGGCTATTTCGAAGGGAATGAAACGATTTAGCCAAGTATAACTTCAAGCGTTCATTATTAACCTGAGGATTCTCATACTGTACCGAGGTAGTGAAGGCCACTATACATTTGACCTCAAACAGTTTACTTGCAGGCTGCATTACCAACAGTAGTAACCATCTATGTTTCACTCATCCCGATGTAATGCTGATCAGACTAACACCAGGCTACTTATATTGACGCGACCTACTAATAAGTATAATTGGTTCATAGTGAATTTTTTCATTTTTGGAAACAAGACCTTGAAGTGATATGTGCACCTGATAGCTTAGTCGGGTGAATGAACAAGTAGTAGTTGCCTTGAGCATATGTGGGTTGCGAATTATGGAGTGGGGAGTATAATATGCTCACCGAAGACCGAATAAAAAACTTCGGTGCACTATATTTTTTTCTTTGAACTCCTATTTGTTTTTCTCAAGGCCTGTGGATAAACCCTACGACGAAACAATAGACGTACCAGATTCTGAAGACATTGTTACACCAAGATCGAGGAGGTCACCCCAGGGGACAATGGACGAATATGAAGGTAAGCTTCCGGACACTCACCTATAGCACAAAATTTGTGTCACACATGTTGTGCCTGAACTTTCGGATTTCATTTATCATTCATTCATCATACAATTTAAAGTGTGGTCAGCTCTAATGTGAGGGCTCTCACCCAGTAGTAAAGCTGCTTCTAGTCTGTTGCCTGACCAGCCCAAGTTCATCACTGTGCGACTTTGATTGTACTATTGGTAAATTTCCTAACTTAAGGTGACTGGTAAATGCCAATGGTTTAGTGTGAAGACAAATTTAAGTTGATGCAGAGGAATCTGCTTCTTTCCTATCGCTTTTCAGATCGTGAAACCAAACCGAAGAAACGAGCAGTTCAGGGTGGCGAGGGTCAATTTACGGTCACACCTCCGGCAAGTGTTTTGGAATTTCCTTCCTTTCTGTTGTTGTGTTACATTACAAGGTGGCTTGGCTGCTGAAATTACTAGTCAGATTGACGGAGGGTAGTGTTCGTAATACTTCAAATACCTTGCTCTGATAGAAGATTTTTGGCCTTTGTCCAAAGAATATTGATTTTAGTGACATCTTCCTGAATGACTTCGTGTTCGCGACAAATCTAAGAATTCGAAGACCGTTAACTTGAAGGTCCCTCTTGGACCTCGTTGATAGAATGTTTCTTTTCACAAAATTTCACATTGCCGCGGGGTTTAGGTGAGCGAAGACGACCACGGCTCCTATTTAGGAGTCATACTGCCAGCGATGCCGGTCACTGACCACAAGATGAAACTGGAGGTAAACTAACAGTACTCTCAAATCAACCTTACTTCTTAACCGAGTAGGCAAATAATGATTATGCGACCTGCGCTGCGTCTTCTCCGCTCGTAAAACTAGTGGAAATTAGTTCGACAGACCTAAGGGCAAAAGCTCTTCATCACCTGTTTTGAAAAAATCTAATCTTACTGTTACGCCCCTAGTGTAAGCACATAACAGCGAGCGCAATCGGTTTCAATAAACTGGTCTTCATGGAAGACGCCTTGTAAGCGACAAGTGGGCGTGCTCCCACGCCAGTCAACTGTACTCCAATGGCTCCTTTGTGGATTTCAATCTTGGTAGTTCTTCTGACATGATCGAGGCCAAAGAATGATTGTTTGATGTACACTGCTGCTCTTATGGGTCAAGCTCCGTAAGAGTTGTTCATAGGCTCACATATTCAAGTGACCTCCGCCTGATTTGTCCGAACTTTTCAGTTGTCACACCACTAAATGGTTTGTTTCACGTTTGGTCATATGATCGAGTGCATGGGTTTAGGATTAGAGCCAGTAAGCCAGTCTGAACATAAATTAGACATAGGTTAGCCTATCTTGAAAAAGCCGAAAGAGTTACAATTCTTTTGAGTTCCTATCATGACATGAAATGTTCTGTTTTCCAACGGTCCATTATGGGTGATTCTAGACAAAGTCGCAAAATCTATAGTCGGATTTTGCGAAATATTTTCTTCTACTTCAAGACATTAGTGAGCTTTGCAAAACAAGACATTTAAGATGTTCAAATTATTCAAGACATTGAAGATGGAGAGCACGCGCATCGTGGCTATTGGGACTACCAAAGAACTGTAGTTTGTAAGTTAATATCAGCCATATTTAAACTCAGCTGAATACCGCACAATTTTTGTATACGTATCTCGCGAAGTTTCATTAATGTGTCAAAGCTAACCGAACCACCTGAAGTAGGCGTAATGCGGACGGGAGGTGCTTGGATGTCCTTATCGTTCCTTGACGTGAAAACGCTTTATTGGTGGATAGAACAGTCGGTTAATGAGTATTCGGGTTTGGCGTAGGGACGGGCGGTAGTGGCTGCATGCAGTGATTCATGAAGAGGCAAAATTTTGTTGTCGTTCCTTGGTGGTGTAAATACATGCGGATTGGTCTATCTCTAGGGCTGGGTAGAGAGTTGAGGCTGCCCTGTTGTGAATTAGTTCAGTAATTCAGTAATTCGAAGGCACCAAGCACACCGTACTTTAAATAGTCTGAAGTGTGGGTGGGAAAAACTCAGCATAATGACTCATTGCACGCCTGGTCACGTGAGTGAGCAACCCTGTGTTATTTTCGTTCCAGCTTCTCACTGTAAGTTTTACCACGGTTTTCAAAGACACGATCGCGCGTTTGTTTGTGGTTCTTATTTTTTAGGCTTTGGGATTTGAATTCAAACGTTCCAACTTTGAAACTTTTGGGTTTCCCATTTTATTTTTACTAATTTTTAATAGTTCTGATTGCTTGGTTGTTCTGATCGTTCTGTTTGATTGCGCCAATGAGAATACAATCCTCTCTACAATTACCTTTGACAGTGGTGGTTATAGACCCAGTGATATGCAGCTTAAATACTGCGTAGTCTACTTACTATATCGTCAGTGATACGTATGATCGAATTTCATTGAAACCTCAAATATTGTTGAACCGGAAAGACAAGTGAGTATGAGCAATTTTGTAAAACATGCCTGGTAAACTCAGGATTTCACAACGCGGATTCAGCGAAAAGCGACGTGCAAAACGATAATGCGCGTTGTCCGATTCGTACAATGACTTTTCTTTTGGTAATTCGAGTGTCATACTTAACAGTCATGCGTGTAGACTTGTAAAATATTCATACAAGGGGGCCGGTTGTGGTACGTTTAATCCAAGCTCAAGGACCTTCAAAGGAGCAACGCGACCTAATGATGGAGAACGTGCAAACATGATACTTATAGCAAACTTGCAGAGGACTGGGCGCAGATCGTAGTCAGAGTACAAGCAGTCTAACATCCCAACACAAGGGGTTACAGTAAACATGAACACTCCGCTGTTAAAGTGGGTTATCTCACACAAGGCGAACTTCATTTGTGCTCTAATTTGTTTTTTGAGAGGCTTTTCTTCACCAGCGACAGATTTTTTTCGGTCCACTGGAAAACATCAACTCCTCAATGTAAAGCAGTCACTCACATACCATGTGGTTTCCACCCTATCCATCAAGCCATCTGATAATCTGATTAGTGTTTACAAAACTGGCTAATTTTCAGCTCACAAAGAGTAAGAGGCACTGAACGTTGAAGGGATGTACGTGATGCCTTACACGCTCGACACTTAGCATCGTGATTCACTACGAAGTTTTCGCGTTTTTAAGGGGCTGAATCTTGAAGAAACCGTTGCGTGAGAATAATCATAGTAATTATTTGGAGAACCTAGTGGTATAGTGAACAAAGAATGTATGGGAGCTACGCCTTGAGGGACACACTACAACTCACAACTATACCGTTTACTCGAGTAAGGTTGAGTAAGGTTGTCGGCATCCACCATCACCGATGATTTCAGAGATCCGATATTTTCTGATTGGCCACCAAATGCTGGCACAGATGTCAGGTAAAAGAAACGGCTTTAGGGGATTATTCTGTGATGCTCCAAACCAGATTCCACTGCTGGGGCGAACTCAGATAAGTAGATGTGGAAATAGAGAAATTCCCAAAACAGAGACATCATCCAAAGGATAAATCTCAAACCATGGTTTTCCTCATCCACGACCTTCAGACAGACTATTATTGCAGGACGAACCAAATACCATTCTTTGATTATTGTAACATTAGAAATGGATCTATATAGTCTTTTCATGAGGGGCCATTACTCACAAGGTTACTGAAAGGTGTTCGAAAGCCCGCGACCCATTTCACCCCTCTTAGAGCTCATCATGTTGGCATAGTCTCCGAGTTTTCGTCAGCCGTATGCTCTTATTATATGTAGTCTACTCGTGTGAAACCCCGGTGTAGCCTTGTTGATAATATCACTACGATGAGTTTTTAAGTAACACTAGCCGAACAGGGGTTATTTACTTTCAATAACTTGATTCAAATGAATGCTGGATGTTCACCGGAATGAGTGTTATAACGGATTATTATCGAACATTTACATGAGGCAAGACTGAGTGATGGAGGCCGAGAATTCAACTTGTGGTGCATCAGCGCTGATTGCAATACTTAGTGCCACGTTGTCGATGGAAGTAGCGTTGTAAACACACAGTGCCTTCCGAAATAATTGAAGTGGAGAGGCACGATTGGAGCACAGAGCTTGATATTCAGTAACGCTTTCTTCAGAATAACATTCGTGCCACCCTTTAGCACTGGCACATCTACGTAAATTTAATACTGAACATTAAGTAACTTTGTATGAGCCGTCCACATGAAGTTGCTACAGGACATTTATGTCATACAGATGTCCAAAAAGTATAATCCAGTCAGTCCAGAGCTCTTGTACTGTTAGGTCAACCTTAAAAGGTGCCAGCAATTCGTAGTAAAACTGGTTTATGGCGATGAGGATTTGTGCAAACCAGCAAATTGTAATAAACTGTTAGTCTGACCTTATCCTGCAGAAATATCCGCAAAGTAGTTTCAGTCTCAAACCATTTTTTTAAAACTTCACAATGGCAAAGCTGGCCATTTACCACATTTATCCCCACCTATCAGCTATGTAGTGCGTCCATAGTGAAATTCTAATCAGCTTCCGGATTGATCCACACTTTATTTCGACACTTCTTTTTACAATTATAAAACAGGCCGGACCCTCGCTTTTGTCAGGTATGAAATCCAGTCGACTGACTGGTGCAAACGAAGGTGAACGCGGTGGAGGGTTATCTGAAAGCGCAACTTCAGACGATGATGAGGATGATGATGACGATGATGACGACGATGACGAAGACAATACACCTGAAGTGATAGAAGGGTAAGTGGTTCGAAATTGTTCACGTATTTTGCAATGGCGTAGAAGGACACTATACTGGTATCAATAACGAACAGCCAGTACACTTCACAGGCGCCCTGTGAATGATGAGGGATGACCCCTGTCTATCCTGTTAATCATACTTTCAAATGTTCTCTTATGTTGAGAACCTGAAGCTTTTCTTTTGTTGGTCACACTCACATGTAGAATGCCCGTCGAACGAAATTTCTGGGTTTTCTGCTATTTTCCTAGGTGATCTATGCCTAAAATCAACATCTTAGGTTTTTGTTATATCTCCGGATTTTACCGGAGAACTGTTTTTCCTGATCGATTCACACCAGCTGTTTACAAGTAGATGAATGATATCTCTGGGTTTAGTCCAATTCATAATCCTTTTGGCAAGATACCTTGAAAGGGTTTACAAATGACTGGTTTGGACGAAGCCTGGTCTGGTCAGATCTCCTCAGGTGTGTCTGGTCCCAGAAGAATAATTACTGCATAATTCCACTTAGACAGTGAATGCGCAAATGTTTAGTTAATGTATGACTTGTATGTTGGATGTTCCACTTCGAAAACGACACGCAACTTCAGGACCGGATGAAACAGTGTTCCTTTGTCAAGCTCCTTTCTTTGAAACACACGCTTTGAATGGTGGTTTTGTGTAAGTTTGTTGTACAACTGCGTTGGTGTGAGGGAAGCTTGGTAAGGAGTTTATTACCGATGAACCGGAAGTAGAACCAGATGTCGTTACTGTGGGGAACGCCGGACAAAGCTGAGCGCCTTTGTCATCTGTTAGCTTGTCAAATCAACTTGACAATACATGTATGCATTTCCTGTGAAGAAAAACAATATCCAGGGGGCAACGACAGAAAAATGCAGAAACCTTCCAGAGTAGAGTATGATATTCGCAACGGAGTGCGCTTTTCTTTCAACTCATCGATATTCCCTATGTGATTTTCTCCGTCGCTGAGCATGGAAAACGCCAGACAACATTCTGAGCCACTAGTTTACCCTAATTCAAAGGTGATGATCTCCAGAACTAGACGCCGTGCCATAAAACCTGAAAAAAGCTTTCGAAACTTTCTAAAGTAATTTGGTACAGCGTTTACTGGAATGACGTCTCAAGGATGTAATTCATCTATTACGGTTCAGTTTGGGTTTCTGACCACGAACTGTGCGTGTGACGTATGATGTTCCACCAAGAAAATTATCTTGGTCATACGCTGACGCACTTCTGTGCGTGTATGGGCATTCTTTTGTCAGCTACACTTAAAGGATTGCTCCCGTCTTCCCTAGGAAATATCTACTCTAGAGTACGTAGATGTATTCAGTTATTCGTATAATTGGCAATAATCGCGTCCAAATCAGCGCATTTCAAATGATCTCTGGTCACCGTCACTTTACCTGATCAGCCAAATACGTAAATTTCAATATTGGATGAGATATGCGCGAAAGATACTCTTCAGTCTGGGTGATTAAGCATTTCGTTCTTAGTTCGGGAACACACCTTTCGAGGGAAGTACTGTGTGTTCCTATTTTAAACCAATAATTACCCAATCGTTTCTTGTTAGTATTAGTTATGCTACATTAATCTTGTTCAAAATCAGGGTCGTGTCTTGTACCTAGAATATAATTAATGGAAGCTTACAAATTAGGTTTAAACGAAATCGGTTCATTATGGCGATGTCTGGCGTTGCACATTCTTAAATTAATGGAACACAAGTGGGAACATGGAATATGTCACGTGAATGAGCGATTTCACTCAGAGGACCTTCTTGAACTGAGCTAGAACTGTTCGAATCCTCTGTAGCTAGACCTTGTCTCACTATAAAGAGGTACAAATTAACTGTCTAGGAACAAGATTGTAGTAGCGAGCAGGACCAGCTCTCTGAGAACGTCGGTCGACCAGCGTACGGTGCATGTCACTAATTCAGGGCAAAATATGAAGTGTGCTTGGCTCATCTGTCTTGGACGACCTACTTCCTTCCAAAACCATTTGATTTACTTCAGCAGTACTGATCCAACTTTCCCACTAGACTTGGGCAATACTCCGGGAGCACTTTTGGTCAAAAACTAGATCTTCAATGTCCTCAGCTCCCAGTGGCCAGTCTTCTGACCAATATAGTATCATCATCATCATCATCGACAGAATGACATCATCATCATCATTGACAGAATGATATCAGTGTTCAACACCGATGCTTCAATGCTCTTTGCCATAGGGAGCTGTAACGGCATTTTATCAGTATGCTATTCCTAAGCAATACAACCTTTGCAGAGGGGCTTAGTTTTTTCATTCAAGTATCTCCATCAACCAACATTTCCCTTGACCAACATAATAAAGTCGTTGAAAATTCGCAAGCCAGTTGCATATACAAGAATACTCTATTGTTTTCTTGGTATTCTCCGGGTTAACACAACCACTCTTAACCAAATGAAGAAAAAGTTGCTGGTATTATACTTTGGGCACGCCGAAAAACATGATTTTTCATTATAAAATGTACCATGTAGATTTCAGGGAAGGCCACTAGCATCACAAAGCAAGGTTTACTGGTAAAGGACTATATATTACTCAGCCATGGGAATAATTCTGCTGCAAAATGTACCCACTGTAACATTTTCACACAATTTCATTGCACTCTTTATAGAGCATACAATCCCGCGGACTACGAACATTTGACTGTATCCCCTGAAATCAAGGAAATGTTTGAGTATATTCAACGGTATGCTGTTGCGTTAAACGTAACTAGCCTATTTTCAGATACACTCCGCAAATCATTGACCTTGAAACGCACCTTAAGCCGTTTATTCCAGACTACATCGCAGCCGTTGGGGATATTGACGCATTTCTCAAGGTATGAACGTTTGCTTTGTCGTTTTGGTGGGTCACACATTTAACTACACTTTGATGCTGGTCCGTGAAACCACTCGGTTCAAACAGAAGTATTTGCGTTTGAGGTTTTCAAAATAAAATCTGATGTCTTCTTTCCTTCTGGAACAGTTCCATGTGTACTCGCTTATTCATATGTTAAGCGTGTGTATTGTTTTGGTTTAAGTTCCTTCCCTCCCTCGCATGCGGGTGAAGGTATCCAACACGGGAGCAAAGTTGTCATCCTCACTTGGTATGGTCATTTGTTTATTATGTCTACACAAACTTGAGACCGAGTTTCAGACCTAAATCATTACGGCCAATTGAGGAATTGTGTCAGCACTTATTTAGATAATTAAAAATGTGTTCAGAAGATAAACTGTATTGTGATCATCATTCCGATGGTTGGAACAACAGTTTGATCCGGGGGACGTTTGTATTCCTCGCTAGTATAACTGGACCGGTTCTGATTTTTTTTACTTGAAGTTGCTAGTGTCTAGACGAGGTAAATTTGGTCCTGGCGGTTTACCGTCTTAGGTACTCCGGTGTTGGTCAATACTCCGTTCAATGAGCTAGGCAATTTGAGTGCAAACTTTTGGCAGGCAACTGAGGTGAGTAATGAGTTTACGACGAGCCAAAAATTACCCAGTTCAGCCTAGCGAACAGAAAAAACGACCATCTGTACAACCTGAGCTGCCAACATTCTAATCGACGACTTTGCTGTTACTCTGCACGTTAAAACATGGACTATACGAGAAGCAGTTAAGACGTTTGGCCACCAGTTATAACGCGAAATCCTCTTATATTGACCAGGTTCCGAGGCCGGATGGAAAACCTGACAACCTTGGGCTCCTTGTTTTGGACGAACCCTGTGCCAATCAGTCTGACCCAACTGTCCTCGATTTGCATTTGAGAGCTTTGTCCAAACAGTCGGCATCCAAAGAAATTGTAAGTAAGCAACTTTTGGCTGCTTGCCATAAACTGAGTGGACCAGGCATTCCACTACATTATTTGTGCACCAGTGTTATTAAAATTCCGATTGGTTTGGGGCATTTTGGAGATTTATGAAAGCTATTATTTCGTAAATTGCCCCTCATTACTCCCCGTAATTGCTAAGTGATGTATAAGATATTTTTGTGGTAACTTTGACCATCGTAAAACGTTTTTTGGTGAGTTTTCACGATTATCAGTGTTAGCGTCTTCGGAGAATGCGGTTAGCTGAAACAACTTCAATTATCACCGTGAGTTATGACTTCATTGCTCTTGTGCATAGATCAACACCTATGTCCTAGACTTTGACACGACGTTTCTCGCGTATGCAAGTTGGTGGGGTCGTAAACATGTAATTCGTTCACCTGTAACACCATTTCGGACCTTCTGGTCATCAAATTCGCGCTCTAACCACTGATCCATCTCGCACCCCCTATCATACACTACATCGGTCTTTAGAAGCCTCAGATGAGAGTGAACTGTTTTTCTTTATATTTTTGTCAAACTTCCCTCTCTCTCTGTAGACTGTGTCACCGCTGTAATTCGTTTGCCCATTCTTTTTTTGCTGAATATCATGATAGCGATTCTAAAAAGCACGACATTCTATGATGTCAGTCAACTGTCGCTGTACAGTACAGGTTCTTAATGGTGCGCTCTCTCACCACCGGTGAATTGTCAGGTGAGCATTCTATGGACTCCGACAAGCAATACCAACACTCAATGAAAGTTTTACCAGGTTAGGAATAGGTCGCATTCACGTTAACCTATAGTAAACTGAGGCCAACCAACTCACTTCACGCCTAAGAGACAAGGACCGAGTCTTAGGTTCAGCCAAACATAAAACCCTGGAGTTTTTATAGGTAGAATTTCTTGCGTACATACGTAGGCTGGTCCTCCTCACAGCAAACCCGGTTCGTTCTTAAGATGTTAGGAGTGAAGTAGCGGTGCTGAACACTGATGTCATGCTGTTGATAATGATGAGGAGGAGGAACGAAGCGAAAGTTCAAGAACCGTGCAGTGGAAACACGAGCAACAGACGACATATAGATCTATAGTGACCTTTACAAGAAAAAAGGATGTATTACAGCGACTGGTGTTAATGAAGCCAGGTCTCAACCGTCCGTAAAATCTGCGGATGAGCAGAAAAGAGTGTAGGTAAAACAGTGATAGAAAAAACTTGCCAGATTTTGAAAGTATGTCTCTTTGATGATTAGCTTACGACAGATCTGAGAACAACTTAAACTTAAACTTAAACTTAAACTTTTTCCAATTGATTGTAAACTTCATGGTATTCGGTGCGCGTAAACTGCGATAAGAGGCAGCACTTAATGATTTTTTGAGAGGGCACAAGTTGTCATTCATTCAGGTTTCCGCTACATCAAAGTTTAATCTCGGCATACTTGGGTGGTGTCAAACTGATGGAGACGGTTTGCACCCAAGAACAGGTGGCGTAAACATCCGCTTTGAACAGCCTGGAATAGGCAGCTAGAGAACAGTTAATGACAGCATTGTTGAATTTTTTTTTTGTGTACTAAATGTGAAACCTAAATGTGATGGGATGGTACTCGAAGCATGCTACCCCTAATCGCAACTCGGGCTTACATGTGCATGCTATTTATGTCCAGTGAGATCATATGACACGCTAGATGCGTCCAATTTGGTCCAGAAACATTTCAGGGGACGAAGCCTGCAAAACATGCTTACTTTCGTCATCCAGGGATCTCACAATCTTATGCGTTAAGCAAGCAACTTCTCCAGGCGTGGACATCTCTACCCTGAAAGTAATCTGACGCATCTCACTCGAGACGTCTGAGTATGCATCTAGACACAACACGTCTTAATCCATTACACAGACTTATCAGTTATGGAGAAAGTTGCGGGAATTTAATTGTATATTTTGATCAATTAAACGGTGCTCTCTCTCTCTGAGTTCCTACCCCAGATAAAGAATTTGTGTTGACTCTCTCCTAGTTTGTTGATTTTATGAGGAGATTTGAGGAAGCTCAACCAAAGTTTAGTCCTGTGGGTGGAATCACCCACTGTGGAGGATTCCCTCCGAGTATACCAAGTCAACCCTAATGCTTCGATATCCTAGAAGACACCTGTAGGCTGCTGAGATGTTCACCTTGATGGACATCTCGGTGGTCTGTGATTAACTTTGTGTTCCTTCTTCAAGACAAATGAGGATAGAGAGCTGGGAGACTATATTCACGTTCTGGTCGATTCAGATTGGAAACACCAAGCCCTTTCTAATGGTAATCATCTGATACGTGATCATTTAACACAAAAATGTATGGATGACACGTGTGCCCTACTGAACCAAGGTCCAATAAAATAGCATCTTTCTCAAGAGACCTTTTCCTGTGATGTTCGTTCGTAACCATATATCCCATTCTTCAGGTCACTTTTTAGCAGGATTAAAGAAGGCAGACCATAAGAATGTCTTTTGCTCAGATCTGGTTTTGTGAATTTCTGCGAGCGCACTTAGCAACATGTTTGGATTTTTCAGACCGTAAGGAGTATAGAGAACGCTGAGCAACAGACAAAGGCGATTGATAACTGGATCAAAAGTATTACCAACTTGTATCGGGCCAAACCTCCGCCCACAGTGCACTATGTTCGGTAAGTTCTTTTGTGTGCCGGCCATTCTTCGATAGTACAAGACTTTTGGAAGTCGTCCTATCCTTTTTGTCCCGCGATCATGGCACTTTAAAAGAACCCTCAGTTCCAAGAACGTCGAAAAGTGAAAGACGAGGTCTTAGTTCATATCTCGCGTCGGGATTTCGAGGTACTTAAATCGGTCGTTGCAAACTGATACCAAAGCTTGTGGAAGAGTAGCTGCTGCTGATTCTGTTTTCGGTGGATGCCCTTACATATTATCCATTCACACGTGTTACTGGGTATAATAGAGATCCAGGAAAAAACTCCGTGTTTTTGGTTCGATTGTCAGGTGACTTACTGTGGGCAATATTTTGCACAGACAGGACGTAACCGAAGAAATGTCTGTGTAAAGACAATTCAAGTGAACAGTTGTACTACAGTGAGCTTCTAGATATGCTTCTGTTCAAATTACTTTTCGCGTTGTTTTGTTGACCCTTTGTTTGTATCGAGTGTCTCTGGGATGTGCAACCGCGAATGATGCGGCAACTGGTCTAGGCACGTGGGCTTGAGGTCTACAAATGAACCGATGCCTCGAAGCGTCAAAACCTCAGAAACACATGGTGCTAGCTTTAGCGTACAAAAATCATTAGTAGCTTTCTGGTGTCACCAAACACAAACTCATTTTAGGAGTCAACCAGTATTCTTGACCAAGTGTTCACTGGCCGTGCAGCAAAAGTGAAGGTACTCTGGCAAAGGTAGAGATTTGAAAACTGGCTTGCGCATTAGTGGATTTCTCCTGGAGACCTGTATAAACGCAGAGCGTGATTTAGACAGTTCTTTCGCTGTGTGCATGACTAAACGCGGGCGCGAAATTTGGGGACGTTCAAGGGTAAAACAACTGGAAAACACGGAATTTCCTAGAAAACCCTGACTCGCCAAGTGGGACCAAGTCACCGGAGGATATAGTGAGAACATGTCACATGACAATCGGTGGGCTATTGCCATGTTATAAATGTGATTCTGCCCTTGAGCAGACCCCTGAAATACGAACAACCTGAAAATACACTCATTTGCATACCACTTTGGTCTTCACGGTAGGCACCCGAAACCCAGATGAATCTCTCGTTTACGATTGATGGAAACGCGGGAACTGTGTCCGATGGGAGCCACGAAGGACGAAACTGGTCCCGGCTTTCGAAGAGTTTTAGCGAACTTACGAGTAGTTTCCTCCACGATCAAATTATTTTGAGTACACACAGTGCAGGATGTATAAATGCCAATTCTAGTGTTCTCGGTGCCGGAAGAGAGCATTATGTAGAGTATCACATCCTAAAAGGAGCCAGTTAGACTATCTATATCTTAATAACTAAGCTAGTTACTTTGACGCCCTATCGTATTTATATGAATAGAACGAATGTTGTGGGCCACGTGACCAGCGTATACAGACCACGGTGACAAGATCGTCAGTTGCCATATGGGAAATTGTGTTTGGCTCCAAAATGTGATCTCCTATAAGTGTACCCACTGTTTTCCTATTAAGTGTAAATGCACTTGTAAATGTCTTCATATTGGACCCCAGAAATATGCCGGAAATCTCCACTTTGATGTCTGAATGGCCATCGAAATTTGAAGAGGTTATGAAGAAATTACGACTTCCATCATCGGAGCTTGATTGTAGCCTCAAAGAATACGTTGACATCGTTTGCGGTAAGCTATTTTTCTTCGTTTCCCTTCCTGTTTCGTTACAGGCCCTTGGTTTTCACAGCAAGTTTTGCTGAGTTTGGGCTGTTATGCATCACATTTTCCAAAGACTAATAACTACTGAATGCTGAAATTCAAGAAATTAGTTGCCCCCTATTCAGACCTGATTATGTGGTAGCCGATTTGTCATTTTAGCGCCATTTTCAACCGGACATAAGACGGCCTAACAATATGAAGCTATGAGGTTCGACCATACTGTTTCTCAAGATTGGCACTGATTCACCATAGTCATCATCAACAACATGATATCGATGTTCATCACTGACGCTTCGCTGCTGTACAGCCATATTTTATTTCATAGCTTTGTTATGGACAAAAGAATAAGTGAAGGGGAAGGGACTTGGTACTGGGCTGCCGAAGCCATCCCCGAGTTCCTACACCTCCAGACACTCATTCAGGCAACTTGGAGAGAAACTGATAACAGGATCTCCACTGACATCGAATAACAGCGATATGCTGCAGCGCCTGCAATCATTCAGTAGGCCACGCGAACCACATCCTGTAGCGCCGTTGGCACGCGGACTTTTCTTGACTTCTTTCACAACCCTCTGTCATTTCAAAGGTTGGTCACTGCCTGCGCCATTCTGAACTGGGCCCGGAGAACAGAACTCTTATCGACAAAGGATGGTTCGGTGTGCAGTATACATGGTCTAACCAACGCAGCTAATGGGCTATGGTTGTGAGACAACGGTTGTCGACAACCTGAAGACCTCAGCTTCGGATCAGACTGATTAACCGGCATCAGTTTATCGAAAAGCCCCTGTTTGAAGGAATGCATGGCACTCCAATCTTAGGACTAACAAAGGTGAATTCGCCAGATTGAATTCACGAATGTTACATTCAGTAGCGTTAAATGGATTTCTGAATTACGAGCGTGTTCATTGGGTTAGGCAACGCCATGACCAATACCGTTTGTAAGAAAAGGCACCTTTGTAACGAGGGCGTTGCCAGATGCAAAACATGTCAAAATAAAAACTGGGTTCTGTATTAACTGTCGTAAATGCCGCTATAACAAAAGCTATCTGCACCGAATAACCGGATCATCCCAAAGTGCGTTTTGTTTCGTCGTAGCGAAGCATATTAGATAACGCGACTTAATCCGTGAAGATGTGGAAAGAAGGTTCGGTTGTGAGCCCATTGGCTAAGTATACGCTCAGCTGGACCGCGTGCAATAACGGGACTACCATATAGATAACACAAAACCCCATAGCATTCGAATGTGTATAGACTTTACCGAAGGTCAGTCGTAGCTTACCGTTTGGGCATTCGATTTACGCGCTCAAAATGTTGTCACTGACAAATACGGAACACAGTATATTGGTGTGTGCCTTAACAATGACCCTTATAATAGTCCCAAAACTGAATGAGGAGAACGAAATAAGACCATTCGTCCAGATGCAACACCCTGTGAATGCATCGCTGTCATGCCACCCAAAACAAGCACAGGGGATGAGGTTCTATCAGATTGTCCAAGTCTAGTCAGGACAAACTAAGATACTGAGGTTATGTTCGAACTATGGACCTTCCATTCAGTAAATTCCCGCCTTAACCACTGAGTCATCTTCAGGTCGATGAACGTCGGCAATGGTTGCCTTGAATGACTCGAGTACTTGTACCAATATAAATATGTTAAAATGGGTAAGAAGCACTACATCTGGCCTGAGAGGAATCAGCAACAAAGGCAGTTTTGATTTACGAAATGAGTTAGGAACTTAGACGAGTTCCCACACCGGTAGTTGTAAGAGGATCCCACATTTTTCTCCAATAAACAGACTGGACGCGCATTTGCCTTGTTCAGCAACCTATCATTAGAGGCGACACACATCATGATGAAATCTTATGTGGGGTGACTCAAGTTCAAGTGTATCACTCAATAAATGTTTGTTGTCATGGTGTCTAACGCTTCACTCTGTTTCTTTCTTCCAACTAATCATCTGAAAAACTTGTTTTATCCCAATCAGCTCTCCTGGATATCCCGGTGTACAATAGCCGCATCCACTCCTTACATCTTTTGTTTTCGCTATACTTGGAGTTCAAAAACTCCCAGGTGAGTACGGCGTATTGTTTTTTTTTATCCGTAACTTGTGTATTTCATCATATTAAGGGAAACAAAGAGCTAGAATGAAAAATCAGGATACATTCATCTGTATGTATATATGTCCCTAGCAAAAGCTGCCAACTCTGCGATGATCCTGCAGGCTACATCAGTTTCACCGCATCACAAGGCTAACGGGAAACAGCTAGGCAAGGAAAAGTTAGTCTTCGTTCCGCGAGTAATTGTATGGTGGGTTGGATTGGAGATAAGGCGTCCCACACCGAGGCTGCCAGATTTTATCTATTTATGGGAGAAGCGATACTGCTTTCCATGAGGGAGCGCTGATTAGAAAACGTAGGTTCTACAGACACAGCAGCAGCTGACAAATTGACTCGAAATTCATTTGTAATACCCAGCAACAATCAATCAATCTATCAATGTATCAGCTATAAACCGTTTGCCATAGGCACATTGGTTCCAGCTGCTACAGTTTTGATCACCGTAAAACGGAAAAGTGGAACATATAACCAAGTCTTAGGGGTGAAGACATGTTCGGTTTGTTCGGAAATCGGATAGCTACGCTTTGATGCACGAGCGCCAATGAATGTCCAAAAACATTAACATTCGAACTATTGCGCCTTTCTCCGTACGTTCTCAGGCTAGACCGTCCCTCCTGCTATCAAATGGATTCATCTTCCGAACTATTAGCCATCGCAAAGCTGTTTGAAGTGAAAGTCAGCTGTTGAGTTACAGCTCGGATCATCATACCAGAAGTCAAGTAACAGCGAAAACCATTGAAGACTCGAAAGTCGTGTTAGTTGATAACCAAAACTAAAGGATGAACAGATATCTCACCGAGATGCTGACCAGGAGGAATTTCACCGACAATGACCAACCGTCATCATAGCCATTCGGTCAACGGATTGTCTCGATGCTCCAATCGGTTGACGAGGAGACGTGAAAAGAAAAGATTGAGCCATTCGGATTTGGACCTGTGAACGTAAATGACTGCCAATTACTTGCAGTGTTTCACCATAAAACTTGCCACCGTTAATACATGGTACAATGCTGTTGAGGTGCACATTGCCAGTTAGGTATATCCGAGAAGTGGGCATGAACATCTCTCGGATTTTACGATTGCCCGATACGGACATCTCGTAGCACTTCTCATGGCAAAGCCAATGGGCGGAACTGATTGTCCCTTGGCGTGATGCAAAGTGCAAGGAGCCTTCTCATGGCAAGACAAGTTTGTTTTCTACCATGCTCAAAATCAAGCAGCTGTTGAATCAGTGGACTCTGCCGAAGTTCCGGGAAGCTGTCGCTCACAGCTCGTCTAAATCAGTGACACCCCATGCGTTCGAAGAACAATGAACTAGAGCGAAGGAACATGTCAGTGATTACTTTAGACCCAAAAATGAAAATGGTACAGAATGGGCTTTTTTTATAAGAGCGGAGAGACACAACCGTATGCGAATCGACCATATCATAAGGAAGTTTTCGAATTATCCAGAGGATCTATGGACCAAAAGTTCGATAACTCTCATACCCCTATGAAATACGACCGATCGAACGTCCATCAACTATGCGCACATCTTCGCTGGTTGGAAGGCAACCGTCTAACAACCTACTTAACCTAGTTTATCTGGATTCTTGCACAGCGATGACCGCACTGCTGTTCAGTAGAGAGGAAAGATGACAGAAAACGGACGACTGACTAGGAATCTGTCTACTCACACGATTGAACGGTGATATTCTGGAAGGACATATCTATGAAAAGAAATGTAGATTCTGAAACAGGTGCAGCACGATTGGCCTTTTCTCTGTAGCGTGTCACATGCAAGAAAAATGACAGGAAGAGATCTGACCGCTATGTCACGAAAGTTCTGACTCAGTAAGCATGGAGGCACGGTGGATCATCCTCCAAAGGCTTCGTTTTCCAGAACCACTTGCTAGTGCTACTAAACCCCTTCGTCACCATCTCTGCTAAGTTCAAAATTAGCGCTGAGTTGGGAAGAAATTGCCTTTTGGCTCCAAGCTCGCGCATTCTGGATCTGGTTGCAAATGGTGTAGTGTTTCATGATTCAGATGATGGGACACCAACGCAGTACCTCTTCAGCTCAAACCGCTTGATAGTTGAGGAGAAGCTACATGAGTTTACTATCTGTATGCTGTTTTCTTCTGATGCGATTTATTCGATCATTCGGAGACGGAACTGCAACGAAGAACCACTGCAGGTACCTCGGAGGCATCCTGATTTTATTTCAATATGGATGTTTCTGAAACATCTGCCTTTCAGCAGCAAGTATTTCAAGTAATGGCCAAGTAATAGCACACCGTTTTGTGAAGAGTTCCGCTACCTCGGAATCAACCTATCTATCAACCTGACAATCCGCATGGCACTACATGCTCGGAGTGCACTAAGCTGTCTGTCTTTCCTATTGTGTATCACCGAAACATGTACAACATACAGACGATACTATGACTCCGACCAACTTAACTCTCAAAGTCTGCGGAAGATACTTCACATTAAGTGGTCAAAGCACATTTCGACAATTGAGGTACTCAGAATTTGCACACTCAATTGCGCAACGTGGAATGACTGGATGACAACTGCATTTGAATGTCTTGAACGCATTTTTAATGAAAGATCATGCCGAACAGAAGTGAACACTAGAGTGAAATCATACATACCCCTAAGCGAACATCTGTAGTCAGTTAATTTCAAGCGAAGAGAACAGCTCAGACAACTGCTGTCATTTAAACATCATCATCATCATCACCAAAGACAGCAACATCAGTGTTGGCACTGATGCTTCACTGCCGTCGTTTAAACATGAATTATCAACTCAAATGAGCTTGTTCAGACAGGATGAAGTACATTGGAAATGCATAGTATATTTTGGAGTAGAATAAGGAAAAAATAGGCATACTCTCCACTACCTTCATCTACTGAAGACAAATTAGGGTATACATCCTCAGAGTTTGACTGCCCTTTTAATGTGAATAACTGTGCCCCTAGCAGGTCATAC